TGTAATGATGAATAATGCATCTTCAAACTGGTGTCTCAACCTTACTGCCAACTTTTCTCGTTCAGGAAAAACTGCCACTTATTTCCCAACCAAGTAATCCAAAGTAAAACTTTGCTCAACTTTAACTGGCTGTACTGGAAAAAAATGTACTACGAGAGTTTGGCAAGTAACCTTAGTTGGCGCATTTAATAACGATTCCAAAATGGTATAACACTTAGAAGATTACTCGTTAACTTATGCACAATTTTTATTTGAAAAAAAAATGAAAATTTTTCAAAATTTCCTAATTAAACAGCGATTATGAAAATGCACAAGGACCCTTAAGGATAACTGTTTGCACAACAGTGGGCGTCAAAATGCTGCAAACTGTTTTCCTTCAGCCGCAATACACGCTCGACATCTTCTTAAAAAAGATCGGGTTATTAAACCAGCGAATCCACGGTTATTAACAAACTCAGCTTCTTCCAATAGTCTTTGCCGTAGCTCAGCTACATTTTGAATCGGCTTGAAATACACTTTTTCTTTTACAGTTCCCCAGTAAAAAAATCTAAAGGATTCAAATCAGGTGATCGGGCTGGCCACGGTATTGTACCAGACCGCCTTATCCATCTGCCTGGAAAGTTTTGATCGAGATACTCTCTCACTGAGAGTGCATAGTGCGCTGGGCAGCCATCATGCTGAGACCACCTGTCCCTGTAAATACTCAGTGGCACGTCCTCCAATAAATTTTCTAAATGATTTTGCAAAAAACCTAAATAAACCTCAGCAGTCAAAGTCTCTGGGAACTCAAACGGACCGATTATTTTACCATTTAAAATTCCTGTCCAATGGTTTATCTTGAAGCGATATTGAGATTTATCTTCTCTCATCAAATGTGGGTTTGCTACGAGCCACTCGTGTAAGTTATGCAGGTTCATGTACCCGTCTTTCTTAAATGTGGTCGCATCCGACCATACATTTTTTTCAAAGACCTGTGGATCTTTCCTGTGTCTCTCTAACATTGTGCGACAAAAAGCAACTCGGGGCTCATAATCCCGGGGCAGGAGAGGTTGAACACTTTGATACCGATCAGTACTCCTTCGTTTACTGCGCATCTTTACATGTTCGTGCTTGTTGATTTCGTACTGTTACTAATTTTGGATTCGTGAACTGGACTGTTGATCGCTTGTGATTTGGATTTGGACTGTTTAATTGCTCTTCAAAACAACATTTGCTTTCCTTAGACTATCTTTGATAGTGTGATTGTGCAGTGCCGCTATGTCCGTGTACACCGTACAAGAATATGCTAACATGCACCTCATTTATGGGGAATGCAGATGCAACGCTAGTGCTGCAGCGAGACTTTACTGTGAGAGGTACCCGAATGCAGCTCGTCATTCGGATCATCGAGTGTTCACAAATGTGCACCGCTTACTGTTCTCAGAGGGCCAACTACCAAACCAAGCACACGGTGAGGGAAGATCTTTCCTTCCTTACGAAGACGTGGTGCTAGGAGCTGTCGAAGAAGACCAGAGTACTTCAGTGCGTGCAATAGAACTAAAAACAGGTGTGCCCAAAATTACAGCCAATAGAATCTTGCAAAAAAACGTGCTCCATCCATACACGTACAGCGTGATCAAGCTCTTCTGCCCCGGGATTATGAGCCCCGAGTTGCTTTTTGTCGCACAATGTTAGAAAGACACAGGAAAGATCCACAGTTCTTTGAAATAATTTTATGGTCGGATGAGACCACATTTAAGAAAGACGGGTACATGAACCTGCATAACTTACACGAGTGGCACGTAGCAAACCCACATTGGATGAGAGAAGATAAATCTCAATATCGCTTCAAGATAAACCATTGGACAGGAATTTTAAATGGTAAAATAATCGTTCCGTTTGAGTTCCCAGAGACTTTGACTGCTGAGGTTTATTTAGGTTTTTTGCAAAATCATTTAGAAAATTTATTGGAGGACGTGCCACTGAGTATTTACAGGGACATGTGGTTTCAGCATGATGGCTGCCCAGCGCACTATGCACTCTCAGTGAGAGAGTATCTCGATCAAAACTTTCCAGGCTATGGATAGCGCGGTCTGGTACAATACCGTGGCCAGCCCGGTCACCAGATTTGAATCCGTTAGATTTTTTTTACTGGGGAACTGTAAAAGAAAAAGTGTCTTTCAAGCCGATTCAAAATGTAGCTGAGCTACGGCAAAGACTATTGGAAGCAGCTGAGTTTGTTAATAACCGTGGATTCGCTCGTTTAATAACCTGATCTTTTTTAAAAAGTTGTCGAGCGTGTATTGCGGCTGAAGGAAAACAGTTTGAGCATTTGCTGTAAAGGTAAATCATCATCAGCAGCATTTTGACGCCCACTGTTGTGCAAACAGTTATCCTTAAGGGTCCTTGTGCGTTTTCATAATCGCTGTTTAATTAGGAAATTTTGAAAAATGTTCATCAGTTTTTCTTCAAATAAAAATTGTGCATAAGTTAACGAGTAATCTTCTAAGTGTTATACCATTTTGGAATCCTTATTAAATGCGCCAACTTATAAGGTTACTTGCCAAACTCTCGTAGTACATTTTTTCCAGTACAGCCAGTTAAAGTTGAGCAAAGTTTTACTTTGGAATACTTGGTTGGGAAACAAGTGGCAATTTTTCCTGAACGAGAAAAGTTGGCAGTAAGGTTGAGACACCAGTTTGAAGATGCATTATTCATCATTACATTGTAAAAATAAAATCCAAAAAAGTTAATATTTGTAGTAACAGGAGTGGACAGACTGCCGTAGGGTGTGAAATTTCTATATTTTTTTCAAAGACCTATAATTTTCAAAACACATACATAAAATTTTTTTAAATATTTTTCTGATAGCTGTTATGAGTTTGCCTATCACCCGGTTTCGGCTTGACGTCGACTTCTGGGACACCCTGTATATCAGGGCCTATCTCGTTCCTCTTATACACTTTTGATATATCTAACGCAACAACTCAGTTTTTAGCGATATTTTGTAATATTTTTAAAAAGGTTAATTTTATTCTGATCAATAAAAACGAAATTCCAGAGAAATTAGTTTAAGAAAATAAGAATTTAAGGGGTTATAAACAAGATATCGAAAAAATTAACATTTGTTAGAATGTCGATAAAACCACTCTAGCGGCCACATGTGAAACTAACAAAACTTCAAATATTTTAACGCTTGTCGCCCAAGAATAGCCCTTTTCAACTGATATATTGCGCTATTAGCTAGCTCGTCTCTGGCGAACTAAATGAGTTAATTGTTTTCGTTGGATCATCGTCACCTACACAGCGTAACTCAAAACTGATAAAATTTTAAAAGAGCAAAAAACGACGGATCTTTGGATTCCTCACCGAATGACATCTTGATGTTAATACTTTTACTTTTTAACAAAATATTTTTATCAAATTTGCTCCCAGCCTTAAAGGCGCGCACGAAAAGGTTTTTTCGTATATTCCTGTCCGAATTTTCAATGAACCGCCTTAATCACAGAACGAATGAGGCTCAATTTCCGAAAATGCACTAACGGACATGCCGACTGTTTTATTTATATTTTCGTCAAGTTGAACCTATAGGCAACTAGATCTACGTAACTGCGTTACTTCCGCGCTATCGTCGATGTATTTAAAAATTGATCAGGGTTGCCAGGTGTGGTGATTTTTCACCAAATCTGGCGATTTGTCATCCGTTTATATCCATTACATATTTTCAAAAAGTCTGTATTTATCAAAGAGACTCGAAAGTCATGGGGTTATGACCCCCATGGCACCCATGGATCCGCGCTTGTTACTTTGTTGTTGTTGTTGAAGATTTATTTAGCTTTAATGCTACAATGTCAATTTTGTATAATGATTCGGTTACATATTTTTCTTCAATCCATTTTCTGTTATTTTACATTCCATTAAAATTAAAATTACGTCACTATGCATTTTGATTATTCATAAAGTGATTTTTTAATTTCACCTTAAACATTTTTAAATTCGAACTCTGTTTAATATCATTATTCAATTTATTAAATCCAAATACTCCCTTTTGAAATATAAATTTACTAGTTATGCTACTATTACGATTTTGCAGATGAAAATCTATACATACTACTGTAAGTTAAGTCAATTTAAATTCATTTTACACTATTGTTGCTACTGTTATCATTGTAATTGCAGCTCCTGATGATGATGGCAAAGTCCATTGAAAGCTAGAGAGAATTAAAAAAGTATAAAGAGTCCTCTTTGCTTAAATTTTGTCGAAGTACCCAACAAAAGGCGGAAGCTTTAATTTTTCACCTATATATATATATATATATATATATAAAGTGTATCGTCCGCTTATATTTGAATTTTGCAGTGTTCTAAAATGTCAGAGATATCATTTATGTAAATAATAAATAGTAACAGCCCTAATTTACTCCCCTGAGGCACCCCTACTGATAGTTTTTTGACGTCTATTCACTAAATATTTTTGTAAAATGTGTAATACTGATCCTTTAAAGCCACATTGACGCAATTTCATTAACAATTTTTCCCTATCTATAGTCTCAAATGCCCTTTTGAAGTCCAAAAATAGTGTTACAATGTATTCTTTCTCATCTATACTTCTTCTCCAGTCTTCCACCACCATTTGGATTGCCGTTTCTGTGGAACATTTTTTTCTAAATCCAGCTTGACTTTTTATCAGAATTTTGGTTTCTTCATTGAATTCTATGATTTGTCCGTATATTATCCCTTCTAACAGCGTCTCGACATCGGGCAAGACATTAATCGGCCCCATATTTGTATACAGCTGAATTTTGAACTTTTGGCATAGGAGTAATGGTGGAACACTTTGATAGGAAGTCACCATGTACCAAACAATGATTCACTAATAATTTCTCTCAAATTGTATCATTTAGAATATTTTTTGAGAGATTCTCACTTGGATTTTTTTTAGATTTCAATTTTGAGATAGCTTTGCTTAGATTGTTGATGTTAATTGTCCTAAATTGTTTCATTGATGAATTCTGACATACTGGGGTACAAACAATGAGTATAAATATACTGCTGCCAACAAAATGGGATATACCATTCTTCATCACTACAACGTCCAACCCTCGATTTTAAACCTCTCAAACTTTTTTTTTTAATGTTCAGGAGTCTCTAAAACAAAACGAATCTTGGGCGTACAGTGGCAAATTGCGTAGGTATATGTGAGGGAGCTGAATCTATGGAAATGGTTCCTGTAAACAACCAAATACTGAAACGAACTACGCAAGTATCGTAAGTGTAGCCTTGAGTCTTTGACGCCTTTGGTCAGTTATCAATTGATATGTAATTACTCGTGCGGAAAAGCATATAATTGAAAAAGAGACATGATATAATACTTGATGGCAACTTAGTTAAGGGATACAAATGACAACTTCACCAGCTAACCACCACTTAGTTCCTTTCCTTCTGTTTTACATCTGCACAGCAATCTTCCAGTCGCCCTGTCGTACTCCCCCATGAAGAATCCGCAGTGTCTGCAGTAGATGTCCAAAGTGCTGGGCTTGGACATGAGGAATGGCATGAAGCAGATGGGCCAACAGGCGTTCAAGCAAAAAGCACCGACGGGACTAGTGGCAACTTTGATCTTTTGTCTTCTGATACGCGGCCGGTCGGTAACGGAGCATTTGGGACACTTCACTTTCAAGGTACTGCTGCTCCAAGATTCGACTGTTGTTTTGAACGACGTTGGGATGTGTAGATCGTTGTAGGTTTTGTTGTTGAGTTCTGGACAGTTCGCTCGGGAACATGATACCTGGAACAGAAGTAGTAAGCTCAGTTTCCAGGAGGTCACTTCACACGCATAATTTTTAAAGCCAGATGGTTTGAATGTTAATAGGGGCCGTTCAAGTATTACGTGAGCACTATGGGGGGGGGTCTAGATGATGATTACGTCAACGGTAGTTATTTACTTTTTTACACGAATGGCAACCCTCACATTGTCTTTGCTTGAAAACGAAACGCATTTTCGGGGATTCCCGCAAATAATGCATACGTTTAGTGAACAACGCGCGGTAATTCCCCTACTCGCTTTAGAACCGAGTAGGGGAATTACCGCGCGGTGTTCACTTGTCTAAATTTCCTCTATCAGTGTTTTGTTTCGTTCGGATACTATAGCGAGTAGACGTATTGTAAGCATAGTAAAGCAAGTTAACATTTGTATTACCATTGATTCCATTAGCCAAAGTTTAATGTTTAAATAAGATGTCGTTTCACATAGAGAAATCCAAGTTAAACCAAAAATTGTTTGAGACTTTTAAAAAATCTCATACAAGTACGAAAGTACAAAATGTACAAAAGTTAGTCAACGAAGTGTGGCGAAATTACAAATTACAAGCAAAATCCGACAAGGAACTAGATATTATAGTATCTAAGAGAATCGGAGAAGAATTGCAAGCGGCGACTAAGAATAAATCCAATCTACTAAATTTTTTTTCTAAGGTGAGTGACGAAATCATTTTATGAGCACTAGAAATATTAGAAATCGCCAAAAAGTTTCTTTTTACTGATTAGAAAATATTATGGCCTATCTCAAAGTATAGAGGTAATATTCATTATATTATAGATTTCTTATGATTGATTCCGTCAATTGGTCACAAAGTACAGGATGTTAGTTTTAGATATATATATATACAGAAAACTAACACCCTGTATTTTGTGACCGGAACGAATTGCTCGTTTAAACATATTAGATTTAAAGCCATAGGGTTTTGTATTTACCATATATATTGCCATACTTTGTATTTATGTAGCTTAATAAGAGAATGTTTAGCAGAAGCCATAGAAAGTTTTTATTTTTAGGCAACCTGTAAACCTGCAGAAAAAACACAAATTATACAGTCAGCTTCAAATATTAAAAAAGAAGAAGAAGATAAAATAAAACCCGGTAATGAATCACAACAGCAATGCGAAATTAACGAAAATACAGATAAACAGAGAGCAAAACCTTCTCAGGAAGCTATGAAAGATAAGATTGCTCTACTCGAAAGAAATCTGAATGATTTGTATTCTGTCAGAGATACTATGCCAAGCCGTGGTGAAGTTGATAAACAGATCATTAAGTTGCGCGAGTAAATAAAAACAGCAAAACAGTCTTTAAACAGGAAGATTCAAAACGCAGTTGCCCAGAAAAAATACACGGATGGTATGAAAAGAAAGTTAGAAGATATCTCTGAGGGATTCAGTGGGGCGTCCTAATCTTGGAAGCAATCAACATTCACTATTGAAAACAATCGTGGAAATAGCCTTATTTGGGAGTGCAGCAGATGATAGAAGACGAAAGGAATCGATTCGCAGCGTAAAAACTTGTGATGAACTCACACAAGAATTACGTAAAATAGGATTTGACATTAGTCGCAGTGGGACATATCTTCGTTTGATTCCCAGAAAATCTAATTCTGCAGAGGGACGAAGACATGTATCGACAGTCCCTGTTAAGCTCATTCGGGCTCAAACTGATCCCCACAAGAGCCACTTAAATAGCAAGTTGAAACATCAATCCATTATTTAGAGAACATAGCATCCATACTTGGACCACATCAAGTATTTTTCATATCTCAAGATGATAAAGCTCGAGTCCCTATTGGCGTAACTGCGGCAAATAAGCAAGCACCTCTTCTAATGCACATGGAATGTAGAATCAAATTGACTGGTCACGATTGGGTAATCGCTGAGCGTCATAAATTAATACCATCTGTTTATGCTGGTATCAAAATCACTTCCAGTATGCTAGGACAACCGCAAGCCGTTGGATACTCTGGACCAACATACATCGCTATTCAAAGTGGAAAGCATAGTGCATCTACTGCTAATACTCATGCTCAGGATTTCGAGACGCTTCTCGAACTTGAAGAGTTTCGACCATTAGCTAAAACTGACCATGGACTAGTAAAACCAGTGGTAATCATGACGATTGATGGAGGGCCAGATGAAAATCCACGTTATCAAAAAGTCATAGAGTTTGCTATACAACACTTTAAGCGACATGATCTCGATGCATTGTTTTTAGCTACCAATGCTCCTGGAAGAAGTGCATATAACAGAGTAGAGCGCAGAATGGCTCCTCTTAGTCGGGAACTGGCTGGTTTAATATTGCCTCATGACCATTTTGGGTCTCATTTGGATGAACGTGGCGTTACAATTGATGAACATTTAGAAAGATCTAATTTCGAATTTGCAGGAAATGTATTAGCTGAAGTATGGAGTTCCTTGGTTTACTCCTGAAGATATCTCTGCAGGATTCTCTTCTACGAATGTTGAATATCAATCTGATTATTCTCTTCTGTTGAACAAATGCTCTAGAAATTGAAGTTGCTTGTCCCCAAATTATGATGCTCCTTGATAAATGTGAGTGGACGAGAGCATAATATACATCTAGTAAAGCTGACTCTGATAAGCAAAACTTGAGCTTAAGAATCGCATAATACTCGTATGATTGGTTCAACTTTTTACACACACTGTCCATGTGCTGTTGCCAACAGAGCTTTGCATCCATTTCTATTCCCAAGAATGTCGTAGTTTCCGATGTCTCATGATTTGCTAGAATAGGGGCGTTTGTATAAAAATGTACAACATCTGACTTTTCGAGGTTTAAAATCAGACGATTTTCATTTTCATTTCACCTTTTACTCCATTTATTTTTGCAATAATGTCATTGCGTGTAGTTCCACTTAGAAGAACTGACGTATCATCCGCATAATTTGTTACAAATCCAGAGAGATGCAAATCACTTATATATAGAATGAATACAAGGGGTGCTAAAACTGAGCCTTTGCGGATGTAATTCCGTTAACTTTTGTTTTGAATTTCCTGTCAGACAGGAAAGACACTACCCAATCTAATATAAAACCTCTTAAACCTAAATAAAATATTTTTTCCTCGAGAAGTCCAATGTCAATTGTATCGAAAGCTTTCGATAGGTCAAAAAAGATACCCGCGATACATTTGTTCATATCGAACTGTTTATATATCTGACATACAAACTCATAAGTACTTGAACGCCCCCTAATAGGCGGATGAAGTTTGCCTGATTTGAAAAATAGTGAATGCGCCGATTGTAGTTTTCAGGCCAAAACCTCCGAGAGTCAATATATTAAAAGAAATATTTCGTTAAAAGACCTTGTAGTAAGGTGTTGGGACGTTTCATGTTGATGCTTATGATTGCCTCTGTAAAGAAAAGTCCCAATAAGACATCCTGTATGGTTATTCGGTGTACCCCGAAAGCATAACTATGGAGCATGAATGAAAACCCAAAACCATTGTGCGCCTATTTTGGAGACAAACAATAATAAAGCTAATTTATATTCGTCCATATTAAGAAATAATTACATTGTCGAAATTCTGCACAGTGCCATCCCATGGATATTTCAATTTGGATAATGTTTTTTCGTATGCCTGCCTTATTTTTCCTCTGCACTCGAAGCGTTGATATTTTTCCAAGAGCTGTTTCAATGGGTTAACCTAAAAATCGAATTAAGAAATCACACCAGCTAGCTGGAGTTTAGTAAATTATGACTGACGTATGTCTCCAATTTAGATTTAGCAATGCATTCAACAAGCTACCTCAAAATCTTTCCACCTTGGTACAGTGGACCGCCGATAATCCGGCGCCTGTCTAATCCTGCGCCCCCTGTAATCCGACATGTTTTTGAATATGTATTACATACATACGTATTTGACAATTTTCGCTAATGTAGATCACGCAGGTTTGAACAGGTTACCACTTGTACGCGTCACCGCTATCGTGCTCGACGCGTAAGCATTGTTTTACTTAGTTTGAATTTGACTACTGGTGATAGCGGTACGGCCTAGCGTGCGTTCATTGTTTACTATTTATTCATTGTGTATTAAGTATAGTACCTAGTAATGGGATCACAAACTTAGAAGCGAAAGCACAAAACATTGACAATTTAAAGAAAAATGTGGTACTTTAGACCGCTTAAATCGCAATGAAACTTTCAGTAGTTTAGCAAGTGAATACGGCGTAGGCCGATCTACAATTTATGGCAAAAGAAACCACGAAAAGATAAAGAAGTTCGTGTCAACTACTGACTGCGGGCCAGGCAAGAGACAGACGCTCAAGAAAGCTGAACATCCAGAAGTGGAAGAAGCTTTGTACATGTGGTTTCTTCAGGAAAGAAATACGGATGCACCAATTTCAGGACCCACGTTGGCCATGAAAGCTGAGTTTTTTTATAAGGAAATAACAAAAAAAGATGATTTTGTGGCCAGCAAAGGATGGCTAGAACGTTTTAAAAGTCGTCATGGCATACGTTTAATGACTATTACAGGAGAGAAACTTTCTAACGATGCCACCAGCATAGAGCTCTTTAAATTAAGGTTTTTGCAAAAGGTGAACGATTTAAATCTTGACCCGTCACAAGTGTACAATGCAGACGAATCAGGGCTTTTTTGGCGTGTGATGCCTAACAAAACTTTCGTTTCTTGTAACGAAAAGTCCGTACCTGTACGAAAAGTAAGTAAAGAGCGAGTAACCATACTACCATGTGCTAGCGCGCTTAAGATGATGGTCATTGGGAAATCTAATAAACCACGGGCATTCAAAAACATTGATTTACCTGTACACTATTACGAATAAAAAAGTGCATGGATGACAAAAGACCTTTTCAAAAAGTGGTTTGATGAATGCTTCGTACCTGAAGTTAGAAAATGGTTAAAAGATCATCATTTTCCTCAAAAAGCGTTGTTGCTCCCGGTCATCCGTCTGAAGAAGAACTAACAACTGAGGATAAATGCATCACTGCGATGTTTCTTCCGCCAAATTGCACTGCACTGATTCAACCAATGGACCAGAATATCATTCAGTTTATCAGGCAAGACTATAAGAAAAACCTACTTCTGAGAGCCGTATCAAAAGACCAACCAATAGAAAAAACTTTAAAAGAATCAACTCTAACATATCGAGGATGCTTCGTCACAAGAGATCTTTGTGGCAACGGTTTAGGAGGAGTGGCCATTCACAAGATTACGTGACTCATCGATCCTTTTCTAACCTCCTATCTAGAACGTTACATAATGCCAAACATGCTTATGAACGTAAACTCGTTACCTCCAAAAATAAAAAGAAGCTGTTTCGGTATCTAAGAAGAAACCTGAATTCCAAAGTTTCATCACCTCAGATCCGCGACGCTGACGGTCATCTCCACATGGATGCCACCGAATCTGCCAACTTACTGGCAGAGTCCTTCAGTGATGACTTCGTCGATGAGCCTAATGGAGACCTTCTACCGACCACTATCTGCCATAGGTGTCCCAACAGCCTTTGCGAAGTTGAATTCCTGCCTGAAGATGTATTAATGCACCTGCGAAATCTGAAGACCTCTTCCTCCCCTGGTAAAGATGGGTTGACGGCTGCTGTATTTAAAAACTGCGCTTCAGCACTGGCCTTACCATTAAGCTTGATATTCACATCGTCTTTTAGATCTCATACCCTACCCTCATGCTGGCTTAGTGCTTCTGTTACCCCTGTATTCAAAAAGGGCGACAAATCCTCCGCTAAAAATTATCGACCAATAAGTCTCGATCCTATCGCCGCCAAAATAGCTGAAAGAATCATATTAGATAAGCTCCTGTCATTTGCTTTCGATAATGACCTTATCCCTAAGAATCAGCATGGATTTCTCCCTGGTCGATCAATAATGACCAACCTTCTCCACTCTCTCAACGATTGGACTCAGTATCTGGACACAAAGACTCCTGTTGATATAATCTACTTAGATTTTTCTAGGGCTTTCGATCGCGTACCACATAGAAGGCTTCTCTTTAAGTTGGAATGTATGGGAATAAGAGGCGAGTTGTTACTGTGGATTAAGGCTTTTCTCACCAGGAGGACTTTCTCTGTGCGCGTCAGTGATAGCCAGTCTCACCTTCATCATGTAGCAAGTGGAGTTCCACAAGGCTCTGTCTTGGGGCCAGTGCTGTTCCTTCTGTATACAAGTGACCTGCCCGCATTGATTTCCTCCACATGTTCAGCTTATGTCGACGACACCAAGATTTACAATACTGTCGTAAATTCTGCTATGCTTCAACGAGATCTTGATATTGTTTGTCAATCGTCAGTCAGTTGGCTTTTACCCTTAAATCTAACTAAGTGTTGTGTCCTTCACCTCGGGAAGACAAATCCGCGATTTACATACAAGATCTCTGACCACAACATCGAAGCAGTTTCCAGCCACACTGATCTGGGCGTTGTAGTCAACGATCGTCTTTCCTGGTCAGAGCATATTCACCACGTTACATCAAAAACCAAGAAACTTCTATACATGCTGGAGAGGTCTTTCAAAGGATCCGATGTCAACAGTTGCGCCTACATTTACAAGGCATTCGTGAGGCCAATTCTTGAATTCGCTGGCCCGGTATGGGACACTGTGCTTCTGCGCGATAGAAATCTCGTCGAATCAGTACAGCGTCGGGCTACTCGTATTCCTTTTGGAGCACGAAGACCAAGCTATGAAGATCGCCTTGAATTATTCAACCTGACCTCATTCTCTGAGCGAAGACTTCGTAGCGATCTTATAGTTACGTTCAGGATACTTCATGGTTTGATGGGCATCAACTTCATGCATCTATACCGTCTGTCGCGCAGCAATCTACGCGGACACAGCTTCAAACTGCATAAGGAGCCATTTAAAACAACAGTCCGACAGTGGTTTCTTCCCAACCGCATATTCAACACCTGGAATAGTTTACCTGAAAGTGTGGTTGGGTGCTACTTCAGTTAATAGCTTCAAAGTGCAGTATGATAGCTGGAGGAGTGTACAAACTTTATAGCTATGAACTGTCTTTTTTTATTTTTTTCTATTTGATGTATTTGTGTTACGTGTCCGTACACTATATTTACTGCATGAACTTATAGTACTGTGTACTCTGCTCATCTCAATTATCATAATAATAATAATAATTTAATAGGAAAGATTTGGTTTTTGCTCTTTGTCAGTCGTGGAATGCGTTACCGTCATCAACTATTAAATCGTCTTGGAAAAATTTATGACCAGATATAGTCACCACTCCTAGCAACGTTCCACAAATCAGTGTTACTTCGGAAGTTATAGAACAAGTCGCTACTGAAACACAGATAAGTCCGGAAGATTTGGAAATCTGGTGCCGTGGAATGAATAGAGAGGAAAATGTTTTTCATGAAATGTCTGACGAAGAGATTATAAAAGAGGTTTCTAATTATACGACAAACAATCAGCAAAATAACGATGACGTGATTGCAACTGAGACTGAGGGACAAAGCTCTGATTTCGCGTTATAACAACCTTAAACAAAAAAAAATTGATGAATATTTCCAAGCTTCATAATGTGATAAATTCATTAATGATTTTGATTAATAATTCTTGATTATTTTGGTACATATGTATACGTATGTGTATTTATGCTTAATTTTATAATAAAACGTAAGCTATCTATTGTTATTTAATTCACTAAATTTGACATACATAAACTATGTATGATTCGTCTTCAAAGTACATACATATACATAACATATATAATCTTACCATTGGATATGTAATTTGTCGGATTACAAGGTACTCTTTTGTTAAAAATTCCGGACTTAGGCAGTGCTCTATAATTCGACAAATTCGATAGTCCGACACTGCCCTGCATAATGTTTGTCGGATTACCGGAGGTCCACGTAGATAAAAAATCTGGAGACGGAAATTAAAACACTCATTAGATATAATGCACAATTCATAGCCACCACAAATATCTTGATATAATTGTTCCTTCAGTATTTGTTTGAAAATATTTTCATCCCAGTTTCTTCGTATCAGACTATTAGAATTTGAAATGAAATGAATATTATAACTGGATATTGTCTTTTAGCTAAAAACAAAATAAAATCCGCTTTGTTTTAAAATGTGTATATAAACGTATGTTTTCCGAATATCGTAAAAATGCAACCCTTCGTTTTTCGCATAAAAATAACAATTATCTTTCTAGCAGTGCTATCTGTTCAAGTTGTGTGGCAAAAACATGTCCGGGTAGTTCTTTTATGTTGTTCTTGAATGACATAGTGGCAATCCCCAAAGCCTCGATAACCACAGGCACCGTTCTGTAACGGTTCCACCGTCCGATCGTATTTATTAAATCACTTCTCGATTATCATTCCATTAATCCCATCTCTAACTTTTTTACTTGGAAAAATTTCCGCTTGGAGCGCGCTTGATGCGGAGTTCCTGATCTGCGATCTTCCTCGCGCTTCCTTTTCACTTGAGCCGCCGATCGAACAAGAGCTAAGAATTTTGTTCTCTGTAGCGTGAGGTCATATAGCGCCATGTGCTAGCGGTTTGTAGAATGTGTGTCCGAATAGGACAAAATGGTGAGTTTTATAATACTATACAGTTTTATTGCTGGATCTGCCTGTAGTTTATAGATAATCGATATTTAAGTGGTTTATTTCTTGTACGATTTTAGAATATCCATCGAACGTCATTTTCGACTACTTCGATCATTCGCCATAACTTTAATCAAATCGAGGTAGAAATCGATCCACATCGATTTTACCTCTGTGTGCGTATAAATATTCATAGTTCAGTGAAATTATGAGTACGTTGATTATGAATATTCGATATTTGTGTTTTTATATGAGAAGCATGTGGAGAAATTTTTGATGACCACCATCTTGTTTTACGCTTTTTTTGCTATTTCATGATTTTATTTTATGAAAGGCATTTCCAATTTTCGGTTTGATTTTATCAAACCATGTGATGTAATTCTAACCTAGAAAATCGTTGGTTCTCTTTTGAGGCAGACTGAGATTGGAAATGCCTTGGCCATTAGGGCACGTTGCTAATGCACACGTTACTTTTTCAGATTGGGGCCACCCCCTTTCCCTTTGCCTTTGTCTTTGACTTTTGCCTTTGTCTTTGACTTTGCTTTTGCCTTTGTCTTTGACTTTGCATTGCTTCGCCTATCACTTCACCCATGCATGTGCCTTGGCAGCGCTATCACTTTTAAGTTCAACTTCGCCTACAACTGGTTTTGAAGCCGCTAAATGTGAGGTCAGCCCTCATAACTGGGACCTCCACTTCAAGCACCTGGCCATCCTCGCTTCAGTCCAGTCAAAATGGACCAACTTAGCAAAAGATAAGTGTATAGTTTTATAGCAGCGCCAAAGATTTAAAACTTATTTTGTTCTTTAAAATTTCAATTTCAAATGTAATGAAAATGCTTTTTTGTTAAATAAAATCTGTTAAATTTTTGTGTTCTGTTTGTTCTTCTATCCTCTAGCCATGCCATGGTCGACACACAGCTACACGCCTGTAGATGTCTTCGTGCCACCGACTGAGCTACCGGAAGCTAATGGTAACCCCCTTTCTGTGATTGTGCAGAAAAGTTGGAACCTTCATTGCATTCCATCTTTTCTGGACTTTTTGCGGAAAGGAAGCGTTACAGTTCTTATTATTATTTTTTTTATTATTATTATTAGTAGAATTACTGTGCCGCACTTCCCTGACAACACCTACAAATACACAAAAAGCCAGGCCACCGAATTTTAATCCCGCTCCGGGGCTTACCCGTTTGCGTACTTCCCTGTCCTGGATCTCCTTATCGTTGGTGTAGAAATTGACTCCAGCATCCGGATGTTCTTGTATGAAATGGTCACCTAATGGGCACACGCAGCAGTGAGGATCGACTGGTACCTTTAGTCCGCAAATACCGCATCTCAAATATGTACCCATTTACCTACTTTGATTTGGACGCTCCTCACTCGACATAGTTCTTGTGGTTTTTGATGCGACGACGACGACGAAGATTTTGATGGGATGTTCTTGAACTGAAGGTTATGGCATGTCTGTATGTGACAGTGACATAAATTAACTAAAGTCACAACGTAGCGTCACTGCCCGAAATTATAACTACTTCTTTCTGTCTTCTCAGGAGCTGATGTCAAGGCATTTTCTTCCATCCAGATGGTACCTAATTGTCATGATTCCCTGTGCCAAGTATATCTATTTCCTTGCTAGTCACTATCATCGCAAGGTCGTCAGCGAATTCCCGGCAGCATCTGTGACCGTTTATTGGTGTATTATATGATCAAACAATAACTGTTTGTAGCAAAATCAATTGTATATACAGGGTGACTTTGAAGTTGAGTCATTAATTTTCAGATAATGATTGTAGAAGGAAGGTAAACCAAAATATGTGTGTAAAAATAAAAAAAAAATAAAAAATTTTTTTTACCTTGTTTCCTCCCGACAAGTATTTCAGTGCGGACCTGTATTTGATCGTGAGGTCTTGGAGCACCGGCATGCCTTTCCCTGTGAGGTCTTAAGTCACCTGATTCACGAGCCCGTTGTACTACATTAACAAAGGCACGAGGGGTTGGTTGCACTCGATTGGGAAACCGATCCGCGTAAAGACTCCCGCCCCCCGTAAATAAGAATCATGTCCACAAGTTCAGCATTTTCGTAAACATGTGCATTTTTTATTTCGTTTAAGCCACGCAACAAACACCACTATTCACTCACGCGTTACCGACTGACACATTGACGGAAAACAACTGAATAAAATTGTACATTGTAGAAAAAACATCGTTTCAAATTCTTTCGCTTTTTTGTTTCCGATGCGATGAACGGATAAGGTGGATTATATCCGTTGTTGCACACGAGCACATAATATTATTATTGAGACAGGGCGGTACTCAAACTTCTAAAGGGCTATAACTTTGTTACTTTAATTTTAACAGAAAAATGTTAAAGGAAAAAAGCACTTCTTTTGATCAGATCTACTCACTGTTAAAATAAATGACTCAACTTCGAAGTCACCCTGTATATAGATCATTATAATCAGTATAAAAACAAATTTATAGAACTTTTGAGAAAAGCAAAAAAAAATTACTATATAAAACAATTGAATAATAATTCACATGACTCTAGACACCTATGGTCCACTGTCAATGATATATTCGATGTCATCCTATTCAAAAAACAATATTAATGAAATAAAAACAAAAACAGGACAGAAAACAGACAATATTCAGCAAATATGTGATGAGTTCATAGAATTTTTCACGAATATAGGAGGAAACTTAGCAAATAATATCAAACAAAATGCTGATATTCATCTGCATGAAACAAGACTGAATAATTCATTTGTATTAACTGAAGTAGACTATCAGGATGTTTTCAATGCCATTATGACTCTAAAAAATAAAAAAAGCCCTGGAGTTGACGAAATTAGAGCTGAACATCTAAAGATACTGGCCAAACAAATAACAGAACCACTTGCTTATATCATTAACAAATCCTTCCAATCTGGAGTATTTCCATCAGCTTTCAAGACAGCAATCATCATACCTATCTATAAATCTAATGATAATACGGACGTCACTAACTATCGACCTATTTCACTTATATCAAGTTTAGCTAAAGTTTTTGAGAAATTACTCCTTAATAAAATGATTAATTTTCTTAATAAATTCAAAATTCTAAATTCAAATCAATATGGTTTTATAGCGGGCAAATCTACAACAGATGGGGTATTAAATATAGTAGATCAAATAACCCAAAATATAGATGGAAAAGTACCATCGATATGCGTATTTGTGGACTTACAAAAAGCGTTTGACACAGTTAACCACAATATATTTTTGGAAATCTTAGAAAGAATAGGTTTTCGTGGAAAGATGTATACTTTAATAGAAAATTATTTATCAAATAGACCGCAATCAGTAAAATTATTAAGCTCGTATAGTAAAGAAATGTTTGTTGAATGTGGTGTTCCACAAGGTACAATTTTGGGTCCTCTGTTATTCAATATTTATTTAAACGATATATTCAAAATTAACAGTACTGGTAAAATAGTCAGTTTTGCAGACGATACTGCTATACTCTATAAAGGTAAGGATTGGAACGACTTAAAAGATATTATCCAAAATGACTTTTGCAAAATTATTCAGTGGTTTAATAACCGAAAATTAACAATTAACTTTACTAAAACTCATTTTTTACCATTTTCATCACTATCTAATCATCTACCAAAATATAACCACCTTCGGTTTAAGGTAAATGATAAAAATATAAAAATCAATGGAGTTAATGATACAAAATATTTAGGAATTTATCTAGATCCCCACTTGAGATGGGATGTACATATTTCTCACATACTAAAGAAAATTAGATTCATAGCATATAAAATAAAATTTCTAACCGACATATTAACTGAATATTATCTACGAATAATATATCAAGCTTTAGTCGAGCCACACATAACATATGGTATAGTAGTGTGGGGTGCTGCATGCACGACATACTTTAACGATTTAGATGTACTTCAAATAAGAATTTTAAAATCAATGTTAGGCAAATCAAAATTATACCCAACTAATGACTTATATAATGATGCACAAATATATGATACTAAACAACTTTACTTTTTTTTTTTTTTTTTTTTTTTTTTTTTTTTTTATATATCGAAACAGCCGCGCAGGCAGAAGCCTAAATGCCGGAACACCGCGGCTGCTATGATGATCCCAAAGAAATTTTGTTGATACGATTTTTGAACTGCCTAAGGTTAGTAGAACTGGGAAAAGCTTCCTCCCGTAGATTGTTCCACAATCTAGACACCCTCGGGACAAAGGAGCGGTCGTATCGGCCAGTTCTGGATGTACGAAGTTTGACACGGTTAGGATGGGACGCCGAAGTCAGGCGGGTCTGTCTGGCAGGCACATCGCGCGGCGGCATCATGGAAGAGAGCTCTGAGGAGCAAAGCCCGTTGGTGTAGCGATAGAAAAGAGCTAGATCGCCGACGACCCGCCGGTGCGAAAGAGTCCCGAGACTGTCTGTTAGAGAAGAGTCATCGATCAGTCGGACCGCCCTCCTCTGGACAGCATCGAGCATGGACAATGTAGTCGGGGCGGCAGCACCCCAAATGTGTGAGCAATACTCGAGGCTAGGCCTTATCTGGGCCTTGTATAGAGTGAGAATGTCATGCGGAGAAAAGTACTTCTTAGCCCTAAACAAATAGCCTAGCTTTTTCCCAGCAGCTGCAGCTATTGAAGAGATGTGTTCGTGCCAGATCAGGTCCTCGGTGATCTGGACTCCGACCAGCCGAAATGAATGGCTCTTTGGTAGAACTTTTTACATACCATCACTCATTATCACAAAACTATTAGTGAACACGACATAATTAAACATAATCATAAAACCAGATATAAATTACGCGCAAAAAATGTTCCTAAACCAAACAAATCCCTAATGAAACGATGTCACCTGTATATAGCTCCAAAATTGTACGAACATTTACCAAATAATTTAAAACAATTACGCGATACATTAGGCTTAAAAAAAAAAATAAAAAAATTTATTAACACGATTGGGAGAAATCAAATTAATAAAATAATCTCAAATATTACACAAACCATTCTTACCAATAATTTCTTTTTTTCTCTCTATTTTATTATATTTTGCAATTCAACATACATATGATCCATGCACAGGCGTTGTCCTCCTATGGATATATTATATTTATTTACTCGTTTCATGTTCCCTGTATTTTAGAGTAAATAAATATTATTATTATTATTATTATTATTATACAGGGTGACTTTGAAGTTGAGTCATTAATTTTCAGATAATGATTGTAGAAGGAAGATAAACCAAAATATGTGTGTAAAAATAAAAAAAATTAAAAAAAAAATTTTACCTTGTTTTATAAAGTATCCTCCCGACAAGTATTTCAGTGCGGACCTGTGCGCCCAAAAGCATGTCACAAAAACTGTTCGAAATGATTTCCGTTTTGCTCGACGCACAGGCGCGTCTTAGCCATGTCTCTTTACAAGCACGCAATAAAATCACTGGTTGATTTCTGATCACTGTACTCATTTCCTCAATTCGAGCACGTAATTCTTCGCGTGTATTAACCGATGTTTTATACACTAGAGTTTTTAGCCAACCCCACAAACAAAAGTCTAAAGGATTTAAGTCCGGAGACCTTGGCGGCCAAGGTACAAAACCGCCACGGCCGATCCAACGATTATTAAATTGTCTATTTAAAAATTCACGCACATTTCTTGCATAATGGGGTGGTGCCCCATCTTGTAAAAACCACATGTTTTGTCTAATATTTAAAGGCACATCTTCCAGTAAACCAGGCAAATTGTGTTGCAAGAAATCAAAATAATTTTCACCAGTTAAGCGATTTGGTAATTCAAAAGGCCCCACTAAAATTCCATTAACAATTCCCGCCCACAGGTTGATTGGTTCAAATCGCTGTTGAAAATTGGTTTCCCTTATTTCATGGGGATTTTCAATAGCCCAAACGTGAGAATTACGTGAATTAATAATTCCGTTTCTAGTAAAGAGGGCTTCATCACTCACTAAAATTTGATTTACAAAATTGTCATCATTTTGATGTTTATTTAAAAGCCAATTGCAAAAGTCAACCCTTTGTTCATGATCTTCCGGTTGTAAGGCCTGCACTTTTTGTATGTGAAACGGATAGAACTGATTTTCACGTAGAGTTTTCCAAGTTTTATACTGACTAATCGCCAATTGAGTTGAAATTTGTCGGGTGCTTACTGTTGGATCATCACTTACTAATTCTAAAATTTGTTCTTCTAGTTCTATTTGATCGTGTGGTCTTGGAGCACCGGCATGATCTCCTCTGTGAGGTCTTAAGTCACCTGATTCACGAGCTCTTTGCACTACATTAACAAAGGCACGAGGGGTTGGTTGCACTCGATTGGGAAACCGATCCGCATAGATCCGTGATGCCGCGGCAGCATTTTGTAAAGACTCCCCGTAAATAAGAACCATGTCCACAAGTTCAGCATTTTCGTAAACATGTGCCATTTTTGATTTGAGCCTCGCAACAGACACGATTATTCACTTACGCGTTACCGACTACCGACTGATACTGACTGTATACAACTGAAGAAAATAATTGTAAAAAGATCGTTCCAAATTCTTTCGCTTTTTTGTTTCCGATGCGATGAACGGATAAGGCGGATTATATCTGTTGTTGCCAAACACGAGAACATAATATCATTATTGAGACAGGGCGGTACTCAAACTTCCAAAGGGCTATAACTTTGTTACTTTAATTTTACCAGAAAAATGGTAAAGGAAAAAAACATTTCTTTTGATCA